ACTTGGGGCTTCTAAGCCCATTTATGAAGAGGTGCAAGTACGTATATTACTCTCAGGAAGAACCATGTATCCCACCAGTCTAACACAGTTAATGTAATACATCCTCTGGGCAGCTACAGAGCAGTTGGATTACGGAAGTTATTGCAATTTATAATTTATTTTATTTTCAAACCACCCCACATTAGTGGTATTGTTAGAACAATACCCACTGCAAGTCTTATGAAATCAGTATTTGAACTGCACTGCTCAGGTACAAAACAGAGTGCCCAGATCTCCCAATATTCAAATTCATTCCTGTAAAGTTTTCCTGCAGAATTTAGAAGCTTACACAAAGGCATACATGTGCTAGTAGAGTGAAAAGCTTTTCTTGCTTTGCAGTGTGTTTTTTGAATTTAAATTTTAAGTTAACCTATTACAAATAATTAAGCTCCAGAATTGAGGAAGTGAATTACACCCTCTCATTCTCTTACATGCTCTGGAGATCTGGAAGTCTATCTTAGCAATTATTTCAGCACAACAGAACCAAACCTGGCAAACAAGGTGCTCAGTGCCGAGGATATGAAATCCAGTCCTATATGTCTGAGGGTCTTCTCTGTGGACTGCCTCTAATCCGGTCACAGACTAAACGTTCATTCATGGCTCTAGCACATCTTCTAGCTTAGTTTCAAAAGAATTCAAGTTTGTGTGCTCCAAGACTGCTCTGCAACAGAACTCAAAACTTTTCAAGTGGAAAAAAACCTGTGATTCACTCCAAAAGCCAGCTTTTTATTCAAACTAAAATACAGGAGTAGGTTCAGTACCCAATTTCCTTATTTCAACGGACCAGAATTACACGCTTGCTACAGGGAGCCAACATAGCAGGATATGTATGACTCATTAGATGATTACATGGTTTCTAAAATTTCAAACTAAAGCAAGAGTTTGATAAACAGATTGATGGATTAACAGATCACATAGCTGCAAACTCATTATTTTGTAATCAGTGAAAGTCCCCTACTTACAAAAGGTTGCAAAGTCAATTTACTATTACAATACAAAACTTCATGCTTCTCAGGACAGAAAGTAAATAGTGTATTTGCTAGAAACAGGAGATTTTACAAAGTTAAAATTTGATTTCTGGTCTGAATGAGCTGACACTGGCTCAAGCAGGGCAAGGGTGAGGACACGGAAACAATAGGCCAGGCAGCCTCACCTTGACGCTGGGAAGGTGACATAGCCAGCTCCCCTGGGAACTTCATGAAAGACAAGGCAACTAGGAACAGGCAGCATGATTTTAGCACAGGCAAATCACACCTGACCAACCTGACTGTCTTCCATAGCGAGATGGCTGACCCTATGGGCACAGGAAGTGCCATGATGCTGCATACCTTGATTTTTAGCAAGGCCTTTGATTAAGGTTTCCCACAGTATCCAGCCACAATAGTGACATATAGTTTACATGAGTGGAGTATCGACTGGGTGGAAAACTAGCTGGTCCACCAGACCCAAATGGTTGTGATCGCAATATGAAGTCCAGTTAGCAGTAAAGTACCAGTAGCGTTCATGAGGGGGGTCAGTACCGACATCAACACTCTTTAATGTCTTTATTACTAACCAGGACAACGGGAAGAATGAGTGCACTCACAACAAGCTCACAGATTTTAGCAAACTGCAGAAACAAATTATATACCGCAGGGTGTGACTGCCAGAGGGACCTCAGCAGGCTAAGAAACAGGTTGACAGGAATCTCGTTAAGTTCCAATGTAAATGCAAAGTCCATTACTCAGGATGGAATGACTCCATACAGAAGTGGAGCAGGGTCTGACTAGCCAGAAAACAGCTCTGCAGAAAACAAGATGGTCCCACTAGGCCACCATGAAACATCATCACAACCTTGCAAAGGCCAGCTGCATATTGGGCTGCACCAGTAAGCATATGGCCAGCAGGTAAGGGAAGTCACAATTCCGCTACACTCTGTACTTGTGACACTGCATCTGGATTAGTGTGTCCAGTACAAGGAACCATTGACATGCTGAAGCGAGCCAAACTGGGAGGCACCACTCACATATGACATACAAGTAGAAACAGAAAGAACTGAGTTTGTCAGCCTTAGAAGGATAAGGGCAGAATCTTCCTATTGTTTTCCACGAGACAGTGGTGAGAACAGACTCTTTTCAGAGGGGCACAGTAACAGGATTAGGCTAGGTACTGCACACAAGTTTCAGCAAAGGAAATTCCAATTAGTTATTAAAAATTGTTCACAATGGGAATAATCAAACACTGGAATAGGGGAACAGACCGTCTGTGCAAACTGCACCCAGGAAACATTCAGCTTAAAGCCTGGAGCCATCTGATCAAACTGGATCTCTTTTCAGCAGGTGACAGGAACAAATCATCTTTAGGGAATCCTTTCAAACCAAATTCCTCTGTCACTTTAGTAGTGCAACAACTTGTATTAAAAACAAAGGTCCAAGGTGCCTCACGGCCATGGACACACACTGTCAAGTTCCACCAGCTGAACAGAGATTAGTGCCCTCCAACCCTTTCCTTTCGTTCTTGCTTTGCCATGATCTAATCAGAACAGATATTCATAGCCTGCTGAGGCAGGCTAGAGTAAATACCTCTTGGGGGATAACAAGCAGCTGGAGATAGGGAGAGAGAGTAAAATCTTCAAACCAGCAGGCAGATCCACAAAGGGACACAAGCTAACGGCCAGACTACAAATCCACATACTGTGTATACGCGTCCCGGTGGCCTCCTCAGCCAGGTAAGAGAGGTTACCCACGAATCCACGCCAGGCTGCAGCGTCTGAAAGAGACTTCAAGCCTCAGCTTGACCAAAGCTTGAAGAAAACATGAAAATCGCATGTCAGACTTGTGCAATGATACAACTGAACATACTATCAGATGGCAAAAATTATTCATCATTCACTTTTAAGGTAGAAACTGAAATAATCACAACAATCAATTTGATCATTTTGTAAAACTAAATAACCAAGAACTGAAACAAACTTACATATGGTGCCAGGCTCAAAGGAAGAAGTCATCTTGCACCCCAGCCAATGGAAAATGAAGTACTCACCCAAGTTAGCTCTTACAACATTTTTTTTTTTTTAAAGTCTAAGGCAACACTTAACTGGGATCAACTGCTCTTATGAGAGCAGAGAGAGAATGAACCCTCTTCATTTACTAGAAAAGCTTACAGTGAAGTTGCTAAGGTCAGGTGACATCAGTCATAGCTAAAACGAATATTTTTAAGAACCATTCAAATTAAAAAAAAAAAAAAGAAAAGAAATATGCATATTTCACAGTGATTTCTTTTCACTACATTCTTCCATCTCAATTATTCTTTGGTGGCATTTTGATCGTCTCACTTCCAGAAAGAATCTCAGACTACTTCCCTACTCAGGAAACACAACAGGAGAGAAAAGAGACAACGATCAATAAAGAAAAATAATCAGCTTTTTATTAGCACTTCAACAATTACCTGGTGTTTCACGGTAAAGCACAGTTTTAAAGATAACACTGGTACCTCTGATCCAACGTAACAGTATGGGATTTTTCCAAATACAAAGGAAAAGAAAAAAATTTGTTCCCCCCCATCCCCGTCGTGTTTCTTTAAGAAAAACTTAGTATTACTTCAGCTACTTACAAGCAGAGACATGTTGCATACCGCAGTTAGATACTTCAACTTTGACAATACAAAAATTAGTACTTTAGGATGTTATATCTCTTCTAATCCCTTTTTTGCTTAGTTGAGAGGGAGAGAGACAAAGGATTTTTTCCTTGTCTTTACCCTTCTCCCATTTCCCTCCTATTTTTGCAGACCTAAAAAAAAAGTTGAATACAATGAAATCGAAAGGCCATACATGCTACATTTCAATATAGCTGCCGCAATGATTTAAATTAAAATTTAATTACAAGTCTTCTCCTGCAGTGTACAACATATTAATGCTTACATTATAATTTTCATTTCAGTTATATAAAAGACATTTGCAAAAAGGGTAGCTTCTTTCATACACTGTTACATTTATTAATGCATCACCTGTTCAAAGTCTGTATTTAAGTGATCTTCACATAAAAACAGAGGTAGCTAAGTAGAAATACTTATATGAGGTCTCTATACATGGTGTAATAAAAAAATGTTTGTCTATCAGTCAAGATGAATTAATTTCAAAACTTACTTCATAATAGTTTGTCTTCTTCAGATATGAATGCTTTCTAACACAAGTACAGTTATTTCTATTTAGCCTTTGTCACCATGGACAGTTGCTACATCATTACGGAAACATGATAAATTCATTTTCTTAGGCAAATATTTGAGTTCCACTGAAGTATACTTAACATAATAAAAACAGAACTGCAATCTATGAATTTAATTTAATTCTTTGCTGAATTTATTACGTGAATTTAACAGTGCTTTTAATTAGATTAGGGAGAAGTCAAATAATCAAAACACTGGATTTTAAGTTTGGTATGTTTCTGTGCTGTCCAAACAATAGCTTATTTATTTAGAAAAATTCTAATAAACTCCAGCATCTTAAATATGTTCAAAAGTGCCTTTTCCAGCATCACAAAAACGTTAATTAAGAAAGCATCACTAAATTTTAAAGTAGTAAATACAGTTACAAGTCTAAGTGAACATAAACTGAAACACTGTGGTCCAAATTCTATGAACAGATCAGATATGTGAAATGTTCTGCCTGTGCAGAACTGGACCATATATTTCCCCAGATACTCAAAAAGGCAACGACTGGAAAAGATGGAGAATTTAGCAGCTGCTTAGAACAGTTAAGCAGTGCAAGCAAGCATACATTTCCTCGTCAGGCCTAAAGATCACTTGGTAGGTCCCTGAAATCCTGTGTTTCATTTTACATAATGTAAGCGCGCACTAGAAAAGAGTGGAACAGTATTTTAAAGAACAGTAACTTTCCTAAAATGTTTCTGATTCACAGCATCCATACAATCCCCAAAAGAAACAGTTGCATTTTTCTATAGAGATTTAACACAATATTATGTTTAGAATCTCAGATCATGTAAGCATCTATTTGGATTTGCTTGCATCTGTTTGTAATTCTGATTTAAGTTCTGATGAAATGAACTGTTGTTTTGTCCATACTGGCCAAAGAACAGCTTTGAAGATAAGACAGAGTAAAATTTTGGCACAGTATTTTTTAGTGAATTTCCACAACAGAAGTATAGACAGTTAGGAGGAAGAAGCCAATAACTACTTAAAGATGACCATGAGTCATCAGTTCTTCCTTCTAACAGCTCAACGTTAATCTTAAAATGCACATTTTTATTCTTTAATGCATTGTCTCATGGGAGACTTAGCTTGAAGGGCTAATGTGCCCACCCTTTCATAAAAGCCTACATTCCCCAACTCAGCTACATCTCCTAGGAGTCAATGCAGTCTTCTCCAAATGCTGGCTGCATAATGATTAAGAGATTCTTCTAACTCTTGTTTTCCATGACCTCTGTGACAAAACTGTAGTCACAATCATGAGTGGAATATAAACCAGTATATTTAGCTTTGATACGATTCCCTGACTTTGGCCTGCAGGGCATCACAAGTCTTCTTAGCATCTCCCAGCAACATGGCAGTATTGGGTTTGTAGAAGATTGGATTGTCCACCGCTGCATAACCGACTCCTAAAGATCTCTTCATTACAATGACCTGCACATAAAGAGTTCATGTCTGAAACAGCAAAAACCAACCACCATTCCCCCGCAAACAAGGACAACACAAAACCAGCCTCCACAAAGGGAGAGGAAGCGAGATCCCTGGCCAAAATGGGATGCTCACTGCTACAAAACAATTTCAAATTTTAATATAGTAGAAAAATTGATATGCGGACCAGTTTCAGAAACATTTTATTGTTAAACATAATATTACGTGTCAGATGAAGAGACTGTGGACACTAGACATGCATATGCTTTTACTTTATTCCACGCAATAAAGTCAAAGCAAGATGGATACCGATGATTATAATACAGAAGGTTTTTGAAGTTTTTTTATTTTTGAACTACTTTAAGAACCTATTTTCCTGACACCAACACAATTCAGATTGGTGCAACGCCAGACTATTACGCTGTATTACTTCATACATGGGATTTTAAAATAAAGTAAAATAAAAATCCTAAAATAAATTTAAGCCATTTTTAGCTATTAAATGTCAAAGTAGTTAACCATGGCACCTTCAGCAGAGAAACCATGAAGCTTTACCAACTTTAACCACATGTTTCTTTCTCAAACTGCAACACACAGTTACACATAAAGCACTGATAAATGTATGTGCCTATGACTGAGTACTTGAATGGCTAACCCACAAAACAACTGAGGCTATGACTGGGTTCAAAAGGCAACATCAAAGTTTTCACATCAAGGAAACTCAAGTGTATGTACTTTAGACAAAATTATGTTGCTGTCAAAGAGCAAAACTGGTGAGGTAACTAAACTGTCAGTTCAATCTGGACAGACTAGGTTCTCCACTCCCTCCAGCCACTCATGGGTCTTTTGGGGGGTTATTTATTTAGTTAGTTAGTAAGTTAGTTTTATTTATTAATTGTTGTATTTCCACCTCAGTATTAAAGTTGTCAATCAAATTTCCTATAAACTTAAAAAAACCAGATATTTGTGGAGAGACCCTTCAGGGCTGCAGATGTGAGCAGAACATCATTTATTCTGATCATATTTTTCAGTAGAAGCACTTTCATTGGTCTTTTCTACTGCAGTCATCATTAGTCTCACTAAAGCACTTGCTGACTATTATAAACTCATAAACAGTGCATCATACTTGCAATGTACTGACTGTTTTGTTGGACACCTTGCAGAAAAGCTTCTCATGGAAACCAGAAGAGTAGAATAATCTTTTTAGCTTATCCCATGAACCATGTTTTTTAAAAGCATGCTATCTAAGGAAGGTACTAATGCAACTCTGTTCATCTCACCTGTTTGGACTTCCAGACCTCAAGAACTGGCATTCCAGCTATGATAGAGTTTGGATCTTCCTGAGCTGCTGAATTAACTGTATCATTTGCACCAATCACAAGGACCAAATCAGTTTCTGCAGCAAGACAAAGAAAATAAAGCTGATGAAAAATTATCTGAAACCTGCACACTGAGGCTGATGTACATTTTTGTGTTAAATCTGATCTTTAGAGGCAGAACCACCCATTCTGGTAAGCACTCTACAAACAACAACAGGGAGAGTTCATTCACAAATATTTGTTCTATGTAAGAGGCAATGTATATGTAAAAGTCCAAGTGTGCTACATCTACCTTCAGCAAACTGCAAGCATCCACAACCCTACTCCAAAGCACTCATTAGACCACTCTCCCACACAAAAGTTCAGTCCTTTGACATTTAAATGTGGTTTCACACACACACACACTATCATCACCGTCAAATTTCTTTGTGCCTGGCTTTTCCTTTGAATATTCTTTCAAAAAAACTTCTACAGCAACTTTCTGAGTTTTAAAAAAAGATGTAAGAAAGCAAGAAGTTGTCTGTACAATGCTATACTGGTTTGCAAGACATGACAGGGTCAAGTCGTCCACAACACCCGATCTAAAGAATTAACAGTACTTTTCTGGCATGGAGCAGTAACAGTGATAAAAAAAGACACAGCATTTGTTATTTCACAGCTACAAGCAACTTGAAAAAAAAAACCAAGAACATAACAAACCTTTCCCTTGGTTCTGAAGTTTCAGAGGCCTATTTAACCTCCCTTCAATATCTACTCTTTTCTGTACTCCCGCATTCAATATTTCCCTTTGCTTTACCTGTCTGTACTCTCTGCTTCTCAGTTTTCTACTTCTGAGTCAGGCTATTTCTTGTATTCCTCTGTGCTCACTTGCCAGCAGATAGGAGAGCACTCCGATTGCAAGAGAAAGATCTCTGTTCCTCTACAGTGATATCACAAGAGGCACAAAGAGAAACTGAATGGCCTGGTTGGTATTTTATATTTTTAAAATCCTTGCATGATGTAAAACCAGAATCAAATAAAAACTGACAAGATCCAATCCAATCTACTGGAAACTTATAGCTTAAGCATGCTAACCTGGGAAGTCTTCGTTGATCTCATCCATTTCCAGTACAATATCATAGGGAACACCAGCTTCTGCTAGGAGGACATTCAGCTGACCAGGCATACGGCCAGCCACAGGGTGAATACCAAACCTAACAGGAAAGAAAGTCCAACCCCATTAATAAGCACTGACCACTCATATACAGTAAAATTGCCACCTGTGACTTACAAGGCTGAAAAGTTGTTAAGCATATGCACACATGTGAATTAATAAAAAGTAATGGTTAAACCTTAACAATATTGTAATTACTTTTCCAGTGTTGCAGGGAACTGAGTGGGTGGGAAAGGGAACAAGGCCAGTAGATCTGACGCTTCACCCAGAGAGCAGCTGTTCCTTTTCTGCAAAGTTAAAAGTATGACTGACACAACAGGTATGCAAAAGAACATATTCATTTCCCAGTAAAACTAAAATAGCTAGGAGTACATTTTCAATCCTTCCATCATAAGAAGACTCTCCCAGAAAGTTGTTGCACCTGCAAAGCAGCTTTGGAAAGACTGCTGGAGACTTCTAGTGACAACAGAGAAGGAATTTGTGGTCAGAAATGCCTGGGAACACATCACTGCAAGACAGACCAACAGAGTAAATTTTTCACCCTGTAACAGCTTATACCAAGGAGTTTTTCTTCAATTAGTTTTGAAAGTAGAACGACCATGCTACCATTTTGTCTGGCTACAATCACCAGCCTGAGCCACATCACACACAGCAAGCATTCACACTGGCCTTTCAAGCAGCACCATATTTAAAACCTTGTGACAGATACCTTTGTTTTTTTATTTTTTATTGCTGCAAAGCCACCACCCACACTGATGGGCTTTGCAGACGCCTTACATCATTGCAAAGTGAAAGTACCACAGAGTAAATGAACTGGCCACAACATAATACCCTTCATCTAAAGGCCAAAAGACTGTGCAGCCTTCCTGAAGCAAAACCACTCCTAGACCTAGAAATGTGCTTGGAAAATCTAACTCAAGTATCACTAGAGTACGCATGGTTATCATAGCCTAACATTTCAACAGAAAAATTAGCAGGGACTCCAAGCACAGGACAATGCTTTGCTGAATTACGTTAACATGCCACTTTCTTCTCATCACTGATCTTAGGAGGAAAAAAATTCAAATTAAAAAAGGAGGGGGAATGAGAAGGTGGAGAGCTAAGAAGCTATACCAGTTTAAGTATAACAATTTAACAAATGCTTTCAGAACAGCTCACAACCAACTTAGAGAAAACACACTGCTTATGAGTTACCAAAAATTCAGGCAGACCCACAGGGTGGAGGGGTGTTAAGGCATGCATACAGTTCTGTAAGAGTAAAAACCTGACAAAATTCAGAATGGACATGTTAGACTGGTTGAGCTGCAACTCCCAAAGACATATTTTTGTTACAAGCAAATCTGTTTCTTGTGGGCAGACAGTACTCTTCTACTCATCTACTGGCCCTAAATAAACTCGGCAGATCAGTGCCTACTGTCCTGTGCATTTTGTGTCTTTCCAGCTCTGGAGCTATCAGCAAATGTAATGGTGACTCAAGCACACCAGAAATGCCTTAGATGTAATGGTGTATATAGTTGAAGTTAAATGTCTAATAAGGAAGCCTACATGCACTTTGGAAGAGTTAGAAAATAACCAAAAGAAAACTAAATTCTTGGATTTCTGAACAGAAATTCCTGAGCAGAAATCCCAGTGCATCACGAATGCAGTAAAAGTGTAACCAGGGTGATAGAATCAGTTAACCATAAACATGAACACGTTGCTCTGTCCCTTGTCCAGCCCGACCCACCTGGACATTAGGTCTGGGAACAGAGGGTCTAGTCTCTAGGTAACCATTAATGCTAACAATGGTAGGTAACTGTGTTTCTATCAAGAGAAATGATGGAGTGTGGTTTTGTGAAGCGGACTGAAGTAACTGACCAGGACTGCCAAGCTTGCGAGCCTGATAGGTAAAAGGTAATTCCGGCAGGGGGAGATCGTGACCACCGACTCACTGGCCCCCTACTCAAGTAATACCACCTACTCAGAAAGGAACAACGGAAGAGGGTGACTGAGTCTGCGCGACCATTTACGTAAGAAGCGAGAAAAGTTTACACCAATCGCCAAAGAGAAGAATACTGAATATGCATGAATAAAATAAATATGTATATTTTTGATCTATATAAACTGCACAGAAAAGGTATGAGGAATGCACGTTCGGTGGAATTATCCCCCGTGCATCCAGCGCTGCAATAAAGAATGCCTGCCTTTTAACACTACATTGGGGTTACGAGGTTTTATTCCCGCATTTTTGGTGACAAAAGGACTTCAGACTTCTTCGGAAAGGACAGGAAGACTGAAAATCAACTTGCCATGACAAAGGGATTGTTACATATTTATATTTTCAACTCTCTGCTACAGTGGAAGCGGGTAACACATCACTGATGGTTGTGGTGGTGCAGCTCCCCCCCCCCCTCCCCATGGCAATCCCAGAACCAGCCAACACTGTGCTCCAACTCGCACTACAGGCATGGCTGGCTGGTGTGCAGGGAATGGCGACAGCTTGGCACCTCCCTTGTCTTTGCACAAGAGCAGCAGCTGGGCCGACCAGGCACTCCCTGACCGCACCAGCAACTCCTGATGCCTGGAGTCGCACCCGCCTGGTGAGTGTCACAGCTGCACGGTCTAGGTACTGCTGGAGCTGTATAGCTGCTGTCTAAACGTCAGGACTGCATCCTCTGGATGGCGACCAGGATGGAAAATTACTGATGCCTGAAGTCAGTCATCGTGAGACCCTACACACAGCGGTACCAAGGAAGGCCCCCTGAGCTCTCCCAGTCCGCAGCGGGCTGCACCCAGTAACTCCCTCTGAGCGCGACGCTTCTCAGAGCAACTCGCAAACTACCCGGGCTGATCTCCTCCAGACACAGCCTTCGCCCCTTGGGAAATCGTTTGATTTGAAGTGAGTATTGCACTGAACTCCAGGGGAATTTTATGATTGCGTGAGTGTGTACGTGTGAATTGATTCAACATAATATTCTGTTACTGTGATTGTAATAGCAAATTCTTTTTAATCATCGAGAAAATGCTAAGTTAACCAGTGATTAATAGCTGCTAAATCCCTGTGACTCTCTCTCTCTTTAAACTGTGAACACACCCTGAACTGCTGCTAAGCATATTCCTTAGTCATAAACCGTCGCAGTCTCCCTATCCCCTTATATTTTTCTCACTTTGTATAAATCATTTTCTACTCAAAATCCCCTTTGATTTTATATTCCATTAATTTAAGACATAATAGAGTGAACCTTTCCAACAAACTCTGTAAGATCACATTTTCTAAATTTTCAGTAAAATTTTTTCTTGCAAAACCTCTCAGTGATCATTTCAGTGATGTAATCACTCATTTGCAACAACGATCCACAAGTGACAGTATATTCAACATAGATCGCTTGTGAATTTAACACTGTACAAATACATTCTTAAAAGGGCAAGTGAGCACTCCATCCACAAGACAACATTAAGATAATGCAAAGATGAGAAAATGGGAACTCCAGAAACAAAATTAAGGACACATGATTAATTCACATAATACTAAATACACCACAATTTTATGCTCCAGGTCCAACAGCAGGATAAAAGCTAGCTTTAAAAGGAACACTTTTAAACAAAGAGAACAGATTGTATTCAGCTAGTAAACATTTGGAATCCTGTTGCAAAGCATAATACCTAGAATCAGCAAGACGAAAGCAAATGATTGCAGCCTTTCAGTACTTAAAGGGAGCCTATAGGAAAGATGGGGACAATCTTTTTAGTAGAGACAGCAGTGACAGGATGAGGGGTAATGGTTTTAAACTAAAACAGGGTAGGTTTAGGCTGGATATAAGGAAGAAATTCTTTACAATGAGGGTGGTGAAACACTGGAACGGGTTGCCCAGAGAGGTAGTGGAGGCCCCATCCCTGGAAACATTCAAGACCAGGTTGGACAGGGCTCTGAGCAACCTGATCTAGTTAGTGGTGTCCCTGCTCGCTGCAGGGGGGTTGGACTAGATGACCTCTAGGGGTCCCTTCCGACCCAAAACCTTCTATGATTCTATGAGTCTACGATTCTAAATACACAGGACAAAATATTAATAGCTTACATTTCACACCACTCACTCAGTAATATAAGCCATGTGTGTAGTGCTGCAGCTAGTCCTGAAGTGTACCAAATTCAATCACTCACAGTACAGTAAGAGAACTCTTATTCTGAAGTACCCTTGAGAAAACCCATCAATCCTCTGGCAGTGAAAATAGATTTTCCAACAAAACTCTCTTTTGTTCCTAATAATTTCATTTGAGCATCATTGTGACCAAAGCTGTTTTGGCAATACACAAAACAAAATACTCGTGAGGTTTCTATTAAATACTATATACACACACAATCTTATTTCAAGGGCTGGAAAGCCAAAATTTAAGCTGCCAAAAGAATGAATTTCACTTTTGACTTCACTATTCCTTGCAAGCGGCAAAGAAAGAAGAAAAGAAAGAGACAAATTGTCTTTGTTTAGGAAGAGTTACGGCATCAACCATCAGTAGTTAGAGACTTCTGACAGACTCTGCTTGAAACCACATACTGCATGTTCACAAAATTTGAGAAAGCTGCTCATACGAAACCTTTCTGGACAAATATTGAAGTGAGTCCCAGAAGTCTGCTTCTAAGAGCCTGTTAACCAAAATGACAGTAGCCTGCCAGTACCTCTTGAAACTGGACTTGCAAGTGTGTCAAAAAGAATCATTAAAAAAACATGCCTCTCTAAGGCTTTCATTATTTCACAAGATAAGACCTACATATATCTGGAGAGAAATTAGGCAGTCCAATTGAAAGCAGAATGCAGGTAAGCATGGAAAAGAAATAGCTAACATCCTCAGTGGCTCACAGCATGTCTAATAAAAGCTGTGTATCTTGCTCCTGACTCATCATAGCAGTAGATCTTCAAAGCTATGTGTGTTACGGCAGAAACATTTTGTCTCCCAGATGACCAAAATGTGAACCTCATTGATATTCTAAAATTCAAAACACAAATTATTTTGAGAGACAAGTTTTATGGTAAAAATGTTTCAAAGTGAAAAATTGCTAAGTTTCTT